AAGATTGAAGTGTCTCAATAACAGACTCACAGGTTTTACTGGAAAGCTTGAACACTGTCCAACACACAAGATTTCATTACTGGTGAAAGAATCCTGTCATTTCCATTAATAAACACACACACATGCCCACACACAAACACACACACCATGCAGTGCCTAGAGTAGTGAAATGTGAGATGCTTTCTATTTCTATCCATGGAAGCTTTTTTCATCTATTAATAAAAAAGTATCTTTTGAGTACAGTGAGAAGAAATGTTACCTTCACAAACTGATGAGCTTGGCTGAAACTGACCGAGGCCATAGACTTGCAGATTGCATTTTCAAGTAGATTGAAAAGGGTAGCAACTTCACACTCATGGAGTAAGCAACAAAATGGAAATGAGAAAGTTTCTCTTAATTTGGGGTAGCAATAACTATATCGCTCACTTCATCATACAATATACCAGGTACTGGTGGACTGCAACTCCAGTCAGCCTCACCTTAGATGCTGGCTAGAACTGATGGGAGCTCTAATTCAACAATGTTATTAAATATAAAATTATTTATTTCTTACCTGCCTCTCCACATGGATCAAGAAAGGGAACAATGACAGATTAACAAATACACAAAACCAATCAAACACACATCAATTTAAAAGAGCAAATAAGATACATATTAAAACAATTCATATTTTAAAATACATAATTTAAAATTCACAATTTGAAAATAATCTGGATAGGCCTGCAGAAAAGATTGGTATTTAATGCTATTTTAAATTTGGACAGCCTTGTTTTGCCTGTCCTCCCATCTTAAGGTCCCTCTACAAACAACATGGCAACAAGGTATGTACCACTCCAGAAATCCATAGGGGAAGGGCTTGTACACTCTGATAAACACTGGCAGTAGAAGTACAGCTTTCAGATTCTATTCACCTGCCAAAAGCAGATATACGTAATACTTTGGCTCATAGTATGAAGGACAAAAACTATTTGTTGCTCCATGGGAATAATATCTGTCATCTACTGTTTTCTTGTGTTAGAAGGGACGTATCTGACATGACATCAGCACTCATCCCAAAATTACAAACAAAGCTTGGAAAAATGTTTTTTTCTGCACAATGCCCCAGCCATCCTGGTCACTAGGTAGGTTGGTTGGGATATTCTGGGATCTGTATTCAAAAATCATAACTTTCACCAGCTCTGATTATTAAAGCCTGTGAGATCCAAGCACCAAACTAGTGAAAGTTAAGTTTGCACTTAATTTTCAAGATAAAAATTGTGAGTGTTTACACAAGCTTGGAGGGCTTTACCTGACTAAAGCTTCAGACTTAGGGAGATAACAAGAGTTGGTTCCTCTAGCACTTCTATATTAGCATCAACACAAATCCAAACACACATCAGGCTTTTCCCCCTCCATCAGACAATGGAGGCTTTTCCCCCTTCATCAGACAATCTCCAGCTTAGAAGTATTGCCTGGAGTCACTAACCCAGGCCCTCCTGTTCAGTTACCATAGCAATCTAACATCAATGTAATCTGTGTTTACATGGCACAGCTGATTTATGTCAACCCATCTGAGGCATCAAGACAAAGATACTTTCCTTCAAAGTGCAGCTTTCTTCCAATGCCTCTTCTATCACATCTTCCCCACCGCAAAGATCTTTCAAATTATGGGAGCAACTTCAAGAAGATACAAAAAAACAACAACCCACTTTCAACTGACTCAGAGAGAATGGCTCTGGACTTCTGTTTAGAGCCATGCTCACCAAAGTGTATTAAAAAGTAATTTTTGTACTTGTTGACTGCCCTAGAGTCTTCCCTGACTCATAGTGACCCTGTGGATGAGACATTGCCAAAACTCCCTATCTTCCACTGCTCTGGACAGGTCCAGCAAATTCATACTTGTGACCTCCTTAATTGAGTCCATCCATCTAGCATGCCATCTTCCTCTCCTTCTACATCCCTCCATCTTCCCTAGCATTATTGTCTTTTCCAATGAGTCATTCCTTCTCATGATGTGGCCAAAGTACAACAACCTCAACTTTATCATCTTGGCTTCCAGGGAGATTTCAAGCTTGGTATGTTCAAAGGCCCATTTGTTTGTCTTTTTGGCTCTCCACACTATCTTTAGCACTCTTCTACGTCTCCCCAAATCCCCAAGCCAAGATGGCCAATGACTATGACGACTCAGGGAAATCCAGGGACTGTAGTAGTATTTTCCAACTTCTGAAATTGTTACTTCTCAACCCTCTTGGCTCCCCACACTTTTGGAAGCTTGTCCAATGGACAGATTTGCCAGCATTAGAATGTTAAATTCCTTACTCAAAGTCTAGGAAAACAGAGTGATTGATAACATGACAACTATCTAACACTAAAATTAAAAGAAAAGAAGGCTCTAGCAGCCAGGAAAAAGGAAACTGGGGACAATACCTTGCCAAATAATCAGAAATAAATGTTGTACAGTGTCACAAATACTACTTCCTTATAACCTGAGTCTTTGCTTCCAATTTCCTAGCTGTGTGGAGCCTAAGTAAATATGAAGTTGAATTCTCATCCTAAACTGGCAAACGTTTGATCATGTAATACTTAGTTGTTCCACATGGCTAGCTGGAATGCAGTCAACTCAACTCAGAGGCAAACACCTCTCTCTCTCTCTTTTGAATTCCAAAGTATTTAACTCAGTTTTGCTAAGATCAGAAATTACAAACTTTTCACTCTGTGCACATCTGGAATCCAATATTTAAATCTCACTTTCAAGGCTGCTGCACCTTGCAAGTTGGTAGAAATATTTCTATCATGATTTTTAATATAATACATTCCTGAGGAAGCCTGAATTGCATGGGCCTTTCTTGGGAAAGAGCAGGATAAGGCTTATACCACTCCTACTGCTAATGGTCTCTGGTTTTCTCAGATTTGACATCCATAACTGGCTTACATCATATTCATTCACACTGAAATAGCAAAAATAAAAGGGAGACCAGGCATTAAGATACACATTTTTCTTGTCAAAGTCAGTAACACACTTAGCTATCTGCATTGACAGTGTTATGAATGTGAAACTAGAACAGTACCTTTACTAATCTTTTACTACTGAGATTCAGTACTCACTCCCAACAACCTGGCATGCCATTCAGAAGTGCTTTGTTAACCTGCTACTGCATCTGATCCTTTTGCCTGGGAAACCAGAGAATTAAGTACGGTAGTTCTTCAAATGACTCTTCCTACCTGTTTATTTCTACAGAAAGCCCTAGGCAAGAGGGCAGTCAACGAGGTGTAAGACAAATACACCTTGGTTTTATGCTTCCAGGTCTGGGTGAAATAAAGGAAACAATACAAAACAGGGAGAGCAACCATTTGATCCTATCATAATCAAGCAAATCCTCTGAACAGCAGGATCTATTGCCTTATTTCAGCTCTTTTTCAGCTTACCAAGAATAGGCAACATGTCAAAGACTGAAACATGATTAACTGCTCCACAATAAAATTGCTCCAGAATGGGCAGCTGTTTCTACAATGGACAATTCAGAAAAGTTCCGATTTGCTTGGATCTGTCCTAAGTCTGTCAACATAAGGTTCACTTGCATCTTTGGTATTTGTTCATATAGTAGTGTGGAAACGAGAAGAACCCTCAATTAGTTGCTCCTGAAGATCTGTTTAACAATAGACAGCTAGGAATATAAGAGACTAATACATTTTGTTTGGGAAAGGAATTAAAGTTGATACAGCTATCACATCCATGTGATAATGAAGCAGTTAGCAAGATAGCCACGAAGTATTAGCAAAAAATTTAAAAACAAAGAGACTAGCACATATACAGCCCATATTCCTATACTTTTGCATGAAGGGAGTGATTAAATGCCCCTAAGGGAAAAAGAGCTTAACTCAGAAGGGCATTTTACAATAGGACTGGGGAACTTGCATGTCTCTTCCGATCTTAACAAGCTAGCATTTAAACAATAATAGTAATTCAATGGAGAAAAGAGCCCACTAAAACATTAGGAAGAACTCATACTCTCCA